TGATTAAAACGGTTTCTTTCGTCTTCGAGGTAATTTGAAAAGGCAAACTGTATCTAAAAACCCGCAAACTTAAAGAAGCCGGAGCGAGAGAGTGTAATGATGACGTATTTTGGCTTCATGCACCCCTTTACGGTGGGGTTAAAGCACGTACTCCTGTGTGGACATACTGTATATCAGCTGGTTTAGCCTCCTCGACATATGTTTGATTTCTCTCTGCAAAACATGATTTGGGGGTTTTTCCATGCCTGCCACGTCAGGGTCCGGTCACGGGTAAGAAGATGCGAACGTGCTCCCCAGGCGGAGCGCGGCACACAGACAGAAAAGAGGATTTGAAAGTACCTGAGACTTGCTGCTTCAAAAGATGTTGCAACTGGAAGAAAATACTAGTATATTGTGGTTCTGTTGCTCGGCACTGCCTTACAGAAATGACGGTTACCTCAGGTGTGCTTTTGACTGCAGGGAGTTGGGCTGGATTGGTTTGCCCCCAGTGGGACTTGTTCTGAAGGTTACTGATATGTTCACGCATCTGCTGATATTCTAAATAAGACAAGCAAACTACCTGTGAGCAAAGTTTCCATTTATCTCTGCTTTCATCTTTGCTTTGTGTTGTAATCGATGTATTAACTGAATATATTGGCATTAAAGTTCACTTCTTAATATCATCCTTTGTTATCTTAAGTTGGTCTTTCAATTAGTGTATGTTGTTTTGGATAATACATTTTGTTGGTAAGCATCATTTTTCTGGCTGTTTAGGAAGTACAAAGCTGACTGAGCTGACTTACCCTTAGTGGTGAAGATGTTGGCTGATGTTGAAAGTGGGTTTTGGTTGCTTTCTTTTGTTTTGTTTTTTAATTGGATAAAGACAGTTCAGTCTGGCAGCACAAGAAGTCCATATTCATTGGATTTCACTGGTGGAACGCGTTCAACTTAAGTAGCCTCATGGAATCCTGCTTTCCCCCAATCCTTACACACACAAACAGGTGCACACACCTATTCCCGTATGTTGAAGTCTGTCTTCTGGTTTTGGTCTGTCTTTCTAGGCCACCAGAAGAATCTACAAAAATCCCAGGGCTATTCGCATCGGACTAGAACAAAAATAACTGCAACAGAAAGGATTTTCCAGAAAGATTTGAGGGGAGTATAAAAAATAAAAGGCAAGATATGTTTCACAATGCATATTTGCACAGTTCCAGGTGAAATTCATGAGAAATTGGCATACTTTCCAAAGCTATCACAACCTAGAGACTCAGGAACTATATAAGAAATAGCAAGTAGCTCTGAATTATCTTGCACTGGAAATCTTGTTTTACCTATCTCATTCGTGACCCTTTTCGTTAAAAAAAGAACTGACTTACTCTGACAAACCTGTTTCCCAAGCAGGATGAGCTTACATCGTGTATGATCTGTGGTGGAGAAGTTGTCTTCACAGGCTTTATGAGCATCCCCGCTGGAGGTGAATTAAGCGAAAGCAGTGCAGAGGAGCCTGAAGCGGTATGCTTTGCCAGCTGAATGCTGGTGACACCATTCATCCAGGAGATGTGAAATGAATCAAAGGTGGGAAGGAAAAGACCCATTTTATAGAGGGTGTTTTGCCAGTTGAAGATAGATTGGGAGTTGGTGGAGCAAGCTGGGCTTGTAGGCCCAACTATGAAGGCAGCCTTGAGACTAATCTGTTTGGGGCCAGTCATCCACACTGTGGTCATGCTTCTACAAACTACAAATTTTTTTAGGACTTTTTCAGCCAGCAGGCAAAAGCTGTCTGTTGGATTGCCAGCCTATTTCCATTGTAGGAAGCTATAGAGAAGGTGAGGTCATGGCCCTTTCCCACTTTTTTGAGGGAAGTACATACCCCATAAAATGTTGTAAGTAGACCTTGCTTTCTGACCTCCACTGAAGCTACTCATATAGAAGAAGATATAATCTGACCCTCAACTTCAATCTCACCTTTAATTTTGAAAAATGCAGGAGAGATATTTTTATTCAAGAGATGAAGAACTATTTTGGAGGCTGGAGGCCAGTCCCTGCTGGAAAGCACATATGGTGTCAGTTATGGTACAGATGTGCTAACCCTCATTAAAACTTCTGCAAGATTTAACTATATTGATTTTTTAAAAATTGTTATTTCTAGTTATATGTAATCCTTTTTTTTGGCGAGTTTTTTTGTTGTTTTGGGGTTTTTTTACAAGAATTTAAGTGTCAACAGCTCTGGAACCTCTTCAGAGCTTCACTGTTTTCTCTGCTTGTAAGATTAACTCAGATTAACTATGATTAGACCTTTTATTGTTGTTCACAGATGGTGTTGGGTCATTTTCAGATCATCCATTCTCAGGATCAGGTAATGATTAGGTGCATTACACTAAGGGATTGTATTTACACTCTGTATCAAGTACTCTGAAAGTACTTAATGCAGTGCATGTTCAAAAGGGAATTTAGCCGCACTCCCTACTCAGAATGCCCTCAGCAAGGACCTTTGTACCATTCTCTTCCGCGTAGAACCAGAAAATAATCTAGAGTCCAAACGGGGGTGAAAAATGGCTTCTAAGAGGCAGATTGCTTTGCTTTGTACGTTGTCTTGTAGTATTGCATTCATCACTCGTGGAGCAGAAGGTGAGATGCAAAACCTGTTGTTACTGCTGTTGCAGAAGCAACTGTGCTAACAAGTTGCAGTGCAGTGACTTTCAAAGGGTGTACGTCTCTTCTACTTCTGTTAGCAAACTGCAAAAGTATCCTAATAAGCTTGATGTAAAAATTAGCGGTTTTGTGAGATGAAACCATTTCTGAGATGATTTTATGAAAATAAAACTTTCTTTCTTAAAAGGTAGAAAGCAAAATCATTTTTGAATTATCTAAACAATATATTTTAAAGATCTTTTTGGATGATAAGTTTAGAAAATGTTAATGATTTTGACAGTTGCTGTTTTCTCTGAAATTTGTTTTTAAGCTTTATGCTCTTGCACAGTGACTAAACTATGTCTTACCTAGCTCCAGCTGTCATTGGCAGAGCCAGCTATAGGAGCGTTTGGCAGGGGGTGTCTGTCGTTGCACAAAAGCAAAATGAAAACTGAACAAAATTGAAAGGAATAAGCTATAATCTTCTAAATTAAAGTCAGTAAAAAATGCTTCATTAAAAAGTCTGTCTGATAATTGTGAAGATGCGATTTAAATTATTTTTTTTTATCTTATGTGTTACTTAGGACGGAATGGTGCTGAGCCAGAAGTGACTATTGCGCTTGGACGGCTCAAAGGGAGACAAACAAATGTGAAGGGGACAGACAGACTTGTAAATGTTTTCCTTGGGATTCCTTTTGCAAAAGCCCCTATTGGATCCCTGAGGTTTTCCCCACCTGAACCACCCGAACCCTGGAATGATGTGAGAGATGCAACTTCTTACCCACCACTGTGAGAGCTGTTCAGTTCATTTGTATATAGGACCTGCTCACATGTGTCAGTGTTGTCATGTTTTTAGGGTACAGAAGTCTGATTTTTGGTAAGGAGCTTGTATTGACTGGTAGTGAATACGCTGCCAGTACTGAAATATGTCATAAGAACTGTGGGACTAGGAACCACAGAGAATTCCTGGGAAATTGCTGTCTTTGGAAATTACATTTTCTCGTTATACTGTGCTGAAATAATTCAGCTTTTTAAGTACAAGTATAGAGCTGTGCTTTTACAGGTTGCACCTCTAACTGTATTTAAGTAACACAAAGTTTGAGCACCATGTGGGAATTCAGTCTGTGGGGCAAAATAAAGCCTGTTTTCTCTATTGTTGCTACATCGTTGCTATTTCAGTTTTATTACTAATAGTCATGCTTCCCTTCTTTTGTGAAGATGTCCTCAAGATCTGTCCATGTTGAAAATAGCTGAAAAAAACTTTAAAGAAAAACACCTCTCATTCCGAACTTCTGAGGACTGCTTGTATCTAAATGTTTACAGCCCTGATGGTTCAAACAAGGACAAGTTACCTGTACGTAAACCCTTTGTACAAACTTGTGTTGTACATAGTTTGCACCGAATAATGGCTCCTAAGTCACTTAATTGCTCTTGAAAATGTGATGCTGCATTAGCAAAAATAATAATATTATGTAAAATTCAAAGTCCACTAACCTAAAATTCAGCTCCCCTTGAGCTTTGGTGATTTGGAGTTCTTAATTCTCTGATGTTGTCTTCCTTTTTCAAATGAAGTCTACCAAGCAATGTATAAAAGTGTGTCTCGCCCTTTTTTCTCTAAGGTAATGGTGTGGATCCATGGAGGCAATTTTATATTTGGTGGTGCTTCTAGGTACGATGGTTCTGCACTATCAGCCTATGAGAACGTTGTGGTAGTAATAATTCAGTACAGACTTGGACTCCTTGGATTCTTCAAGTAAGATGACCTATTTCACTTTTTACAAAATACTTCCTATTATGTTTAAAGCATGGGTAGTTTTGTTTTCTAAATCAGCTGAACTTCTATACCAGCTTCCCCACTGTTACAGTGGTTTAAATGTACATAGTTCGCTGACATCAGGATGTAAGAACATTAAGAAATGTCTGTAAATTCCATTTGCATTGTCATTTGATTGTAGCCTGCTATCACGTCATAGCTGGGCTTATTTGGTTCTGGACAGGATGTTTGTTCTTGCCTTTACTTCCATCCATTGGTGTGTAAAGCAAAAAATCATATAGTGTAAAGGCCAGGAATCCATCTGTGTATGGGTGAACAAACAGTACAGGCAAGTAAGTCAGTGGGGCTTTAGGTCAGTAGGCTACACGGATCTTTCCTTGGCCAAATATGACACTTTGCACAAAATGTAAATTGGTGAGATTTATTTTATTCTGGTATTAGAAGAGCTATTACTCTTCCTGAGAAGTTGGCTTATAATGCTTTTCTTTCAGTACTGGTGATGAACACGCACGTGGGAACTGGGCATTTTTGGATCAAGTAGCAGCTCTTCGATGGATCCAAGAAAATATTGAACACTTTGGTGGAGATCCAGGATCTGTCACACTCTTTGGTGTATCTGCAGGATCTTGCTCTGTTTTTGCACATGTAGGCATGCAGTATATACACTAGGAAGGAAAGTCTTAAAAAAAAATCTTCAAAAACTCAATTAGTGTAACATTTCATGCTTAATCTGATTTTTGAAAGTAAGATTAATGGCATGTTGTGCTAAGTCTGGACACTTCCCCTGTAAGCACATCAAAATGTGTAATTCCCTTCTGAATCCAGCAGTCTAGTCAAGCATAAAGTTATGGGATAAGGACCTTAATGTAGAATAAATACTTCCGGTTCTTCCCTTCTTGGCAGGTTTTATCTCCTTTGTCGAAGGGTCTCTTTCATAAAGCAATATCAGAGAGTGGAATTCTAATCCCCCCTGATAAAGATTTACTTCGTTCAACAGATCTTAAGGTAGGCTCATTTTTTTTGCATTTTAAAGCCTTTATAATCTAAAATAGGACATTTCTTATATCTGATAATTTGGTTAAAAGAGAAAAGGGGAAATCCGATTGCATATTATGCAACAAAGTTGATCAAATTTACTCCCATGGCATACCTATAAAAGTATAGAATAACACTAAGTAAATTCTCATTCAAATCGTCTGTTTATTTTCAATCTCATTTAGTGTTGGAAATAGATTGTACAGTTATGTGATTATAATATCTGTGCGTTGACTTAGGTATTTTCAGTTATACACATGCCAACCTTGGCATATGTCCATTTTCGTGCACACTGTAACTTATATAGTAACTATGAAATTTATTACAGAAAGTTTAACTAGAATCCAGAAGAGGCATTCAGTTTTTATTCAGCTGTGGTCTTTTATGGAGGACCTTTATTTGAAGTAAATTAATAATAAATAAAAAAACCCAAACTTTAAAATTAAATTCCTCTGTATAAGTACCTTGTCATTTCTCCTCCTGAAACAGCACATAGTAATAATGTAGATCTCATAAGTTGATTTTCTGAATTTTCTTTCCTTATTTGATCTATGTTAACAACCTCGTATTACCTCTACAGCACGATTTGTTGTAGAACAGTGAATGGAAATATAGGAAGAAAGAGAAGTATACCAGAATGATTTCACTTTATGATCAAACTGTAGTATATCTAGTAAAATAAAATACTTGAAGTCCTATCAAGCTCACCTAAATCTGCCCTTAAGTAAAATTATTAACAGTACTGTGTATAATAATTTTCTGTTTATAAATTCCTTAAAGACCACCTTGTAGCTAAGAGTTTTTATCTTTGTTAATAATTTTCAGAAAATTGCAAGTATATTTAAGTGTGAGACGAGCAGTTCACTCTCACTGATAAACTGCTTAAGGAACCAGGAAGCAAATGATATAGTCTTTAACAGTACGGTAGGTAAAACTTTACTTAGTAACAGATTTTTTAACAGCACTCTTATAAAACGTTAGCTCAGCCTCTGACCAGAGTTCATTGTTGGCCTGTTCCAAAGCTGATTTTTCTTAACTTTTGTCAAAATACCCCCTAAATATTGAAATAATTTCTCATCAGAATTTTCAGTGAAGTGTCACAGCACCTGTAAAGTTGTGAGCAAGACTCAAGCATACATATGTTTTAATGTCAGTTAGAAGCAGTCCAGGATCAGGAAACCATTACATTACTGCATACCATGATCCAATCAGGCTTGCATTTTATAGTCTTGTGCCAAACTGTAATTTTATGTTACAGTGGCTGTCGATACTCAGATTTCTTAAAGCCCTTTTTTGCCCTTGGAACATTAAATGCGGACATTTTATTATATGAATTGAAGGAAAAATGGAAAATACTATTAACAAGTAATTTGATCTTTTTTTTCTCCTCCTTCAGGAAATCCCATTTCTACCCTTAGTTTTGGATGGAGTATTTCTTCATAAGTCACCTGAAGAGATATTGGTTGGAAAAGAGTTTAATGCAGTCCCGTTTATGATAGGAGTCACCAACAATGAATTTGGCTGGAATATTAGATCTGTAATTTAATGGCTATCCTTCATTTTTTTGAATGTTTGTGTTAACTGATGCAGGCAACTCTGAGACAGTATTTGCTGGTAGGACACCTTTTAAGTATCGCCAAAAGGCTTTGCATTGTTGGAAATATATACAAGGTAAACTTTGCTTGCGTTATGATTCTGTAGCGACCCAGAACCAGTTGGTCACAAAACACTGAGACAAGCTTCATCCTGCAAGTTAAAATACATGGTTATCTTTGGAATATCAATTTTATACAGTATTTGCTTATCCTAAAATTTTAATCCCTCATCCAGGCAGAGAGAGGAAAAAGAATGCAACAGTCAAGGGCTTGTTACTGAAAGAAGAATGAAACCAATCCTTTCCCCCACAACATGCAGTATTCAGGATTGGTACATAGCCTGTTTAAAAATGTGACATTGATCACCTTAAACAGCTTACCCTGTATGTCAATATGAACTCTGACTGCTGGTTATATCATTGCCCCTGTGTTCCTTGTTACCATGTAGAAAGATCTACCATTTGAAAATCTCATCTGGGGACAGAGTATGGAGATAATGCAGGTGTCCAATCCATTCTCAGTGCATAAATCCTTTCTCATATGGATTCCATGGGTAACTCCAAAAAATAAGCAATTGCTATACAGTGCACAAAACTGCAGGAGGTGGATTTTTGTCCTCTCTCTTCCTTGTCCTCTTTTCTTCGTTTACTAAGTATTGATGTTTATCTATGTAGTACAAAGCATTTGTTCTGAATCTAAGTAGTAACTGTGTGTCTCTGGGAGTGTGCTGGTACTGAGTCCAAGAAGAAAAATGTATAGTGAAATCTGTTCTAATTAATTTTGCAGACAGAAGAGTCATTTTATGTAATGCTGTAGAAGAGGAGCATTGCCTTATCTTTACTTCAGAGGGTTCAAACAATTGGACTAGAGACAGAGAGGCTGCCAGTGACTTTTAAGTTCTCCCCTACCAGAGGGAAAATAAGCCTTTGCAACAGAATAAGCATTTTGCTTCAGTTCTGCCCTAATGCTTTCTAGTCTTACAAGTTTCTTAACAATGTGTGTTGATTTAAGGATAAACTACTTAGTATGAGTGGTTTATGTAGAAACCTGCACCAAGGAAACATTTACTGCAGTAAATACAAGCTTTTCAAGACAGCTGCGGCATCGTACTGCATTTTTGCATATTATACAATGCTTCAAAAATAAACACCAGTAGTAAGAATAAAGTGGAATAATGTAGTTCTAATGTTAAAAATATTGGAGAAGTTGAATGGTGCTAATACTCTTTTTTTTTTTTCTGTGCAGACATCAAAAATACCAGGTTTGAAGGAAATAGGAGATAAAAAATCAATTACTTCAACTTTAGAGTTTTTACTACCAATGATGGTAAGTGAAATTTGTTTTTAATGCACGTAACAGATTTGTGAAGTTTGGTGTTCTCTAATTTCCTGCTTGAGTCATAGTCTTACTAAGACTTGAGGTTATGTTATGCTTTGGGGAGAGTCCCAGCAAAGTTGACAGAACTACGGTGTATGGAGTTACACAGAAATAGGATTGAGTCAGACTGGGGATTTGGGGAAATACCTTTTTCCTTCTAGACGTCTGAACCAACATTTTTGTCTTACATATTTGTATGTAGGATTACTGTAATAGTGTCCCTAGTCTTATGGTATCTGATGGCTAATCTCCTGGTTGATGGGTTTCAAGGCAGGATTTTTCAATATGTTTATGTTAAATGTAACTTTTAAAGTAGTTACTTTGCACTCAGAGTTTTGAAATGTATCTTTCAAGCAGCAAATTCTAATGCTAAAAAACATAAGCTGTGTTTAGAGATCCCATTGGTCTTGCCCTGTAGTCTAATAGTCCTTAAATCTTTAAGGACTCACAGAATTTACTTTTGTTATTCCCATCTCTTTTCTCCCGAAGAAAAGAGAAGCCAAAGGTATTATCCGGAGAAGTTGCTGGATCCTTGTTGATTCCTGTAGAGTTTTAACCTATATAAATCTGTTGCAAATTTGACCTGAGGTGGTTTCTTTGGGTTGGTGTTTTGGTTTTGGTTTTTTTGGGGGGGAGCATTCCCCCCAAAAAGTCTGAATAGGTTTTTGTCATGGTTTAACCCCAGCCAGCAACTAAGCACCACGCAGCCGCTCACTCACTCCCCCCCATCCCGTGGGATGGGGGAGTAAATCAGGAAAAAGAAGTAAAACTCCTGGGTTGAGATAAGAACAGTTTAATAGAACAGAAAAGAAGAAACTAATAATGACAATGATAACACTAATAAAATGACAACAGTAGTAATAAAAGGATTGGAATGTACAAATGATGCACAGGGCAATTGCTCACCACCCGCCGACTGACACCCAGCCAGTCCCCAAGCGGCGATTCCCCACCCGCCCTTCCCAGTTCCTAAACTAGATGGGACGTCCCATGGTATGGAGTACACTGTTGGCCAGTTTGGGTCAGGTGCCCTGGCTGGGCATGAGAAGCTGAAAAATCCTTGACTATAGTCTAAACACTACTGAGCAACAACTGAAAACATCAGTGTTATCAACATTCTTCACATACTGAACTCAAAACATAGCACTGTACCAGCTACTAGGAAGACAGTTAACTACATCCCAGCTGAAACCAGGACAGTTTTATTTGTCATCGTGATTTCCCATCAACATGGGTGCTACCCTGGACCTTTGTGACTTTGTGGAAACTTTGAAGTTTAAAAGATGACATTTTTAGTTGCTAATTCAGAGAGTATTATTTTTTCTGTTTGTTTCTTGTTTCCCCTTTTTCTCTTAGTATGTACCATCAGAGTTTCTGCCTGCAATAGTGGATGAGTATCTAGGAAACACAGATGATCCTGCTGAGCTACGGGACCGATTTTTGGATTTCCTAGGGGATGTAGGAATTGTTATGCCATCCATTAAAGCATTGAATTATCACAGGGGTGAGCTAATGAACACCAGTAGGTGTTCAAACCTCTTACAACATGCTGGATCAAATGATGTAGACACAAATCCTGTCATGTGTAGGTAGCCCTTCTTGAGATTCCTACTGAGAACTTGAGGGTGAAAAGTGATATAGGTCTGCAGGATTGTGTGAAGCAAGTGTATGTACTCCTTTATCTTTGTACTAGTGTCTTGCACTTGCGCTCATAGTCACAATATATTGAGAGCAGAGCACAATAACACAGGTAAATGTTTGCTAACTGAAGTATGCAGGCTTAAAAATTAAAACATATTAAAGCAACCTGGAATTTGTCCTTTGGCCCACTGCTACTTGGAAAGTCAGCAGCTCTGTAGCCTGGAGATTTTCTGGTATTTAAGTGTAGACAAGCCATGCCAAAATACCCAGAACTGGAAAATAATTTGATGTTATCATGTTTTCTGTAAGTTTTCCTGGGGTGAATTTTTCAATTTTTTGTGTAAGTGCTGAGAGTTCTTAGTTCTGAATTAAAAATAAAAATACATCTTGGAATGTAACATTACATTAAAAATGTGCCCAGTGTAACGCTTTGGGTATATTTAAAGTAATATTTTAAACAGCTGATGTCATCTGTAACTTATGCATCTCTTCTTTAACTCTCTAAATGTTACGCCTGCTAGAGTCTGGAGCTCCTGTCTACTTCTTTGAATATCAGCATCGGCCCACTTCATACTGGGATAATAAACCAGAGTATGTGAAAGCTGATCATGGAGATGAAGTTGGCTTTGTCTTTGGAGGACCATATCTGGCCGGTGATATTCAGCTACGTAGTAAGGAGTAGAACATTCAATGTTGACTTATAAATTACTCTCATAACACTGGCATTATTCTGTTCAGTAGTGCTACTTCCATTTTAATCAGACTAAAGTGCATTTATTAACAGTGAGACCAAAGTATAACCCTTTCTCCTGTTAGAATTTGTTTAACACTAAACTTACTCTTCTTCTCCATTCTCTATCATGTACAGTTTACTGTTTCCGAAGCACAGTAAGTTACACATGTTGTCAACAATTTAGCAAATAGGACATTTGCAAGAAAACATCACTGTTGTTATACCAGCACTGTTCATGAATTTGCCAGATAGCTTTGGCTGAAAAAGAAATTGAAGGAAAGGTCAATTAAACTTGCAGGGGATTAGCAGAGTGCTTGGGAAGCAGGAAATCTAGGCTCTTCTTTTCCTGAGGAATTTAAGCTAATGTCTCCTTCTTTCCAGGAAATCCCATGGGCTGTCAGGCTCCATAGAGTGGCGGACTCGGTCTCTTTTACAGATAGTGTTCCGACTGTGTTGATTAGAGCAAGGCTTGGAACTCCAGTGTTTAATTTTCTGTGTGAAGATCTAATGGTTAGGTTAAAGAATATTTTCTCCCATGACTCAATATTTCAACATTTTATTCAAAATGGAACTGGTCCATTGATGAAGGATTAAGGGTGTACTCCCAAAATTGCCTTTGCCTTGTCAGTTTGGACATTCTCATAGGATTCTGGAAGTTCTGGTTCCTTCAGGCAGAATCCCACATTGCTATAGTCCAAATCAATGTGCCAGTCATTGAACAGTTAGATACAAGATGCCACATCCTCAGGAATATTATGAATGCAGCAATTTGCTTTAATTGCATATGCCTAAAACTATAATACTCAGGATGGAGTATTTTCTTTCCCATGAAACAAATTAGGAGCAGTTCTTATTTTGACAAACACAGAAATTCTACTTATTTTAAGTGAATTCACCATTTTTTCTGCTTTTATTTTTGTCATTTGCACAGTAGTTCAAAGTTTCAAAGCCTACATAAATGAAAGCATTTCCTTTTAGTCCCTTGAACTTTGGAGCAATCCAGCTATGTTGTAAAAGCATTTGTTAATCTGTTACTAGAGCCTTTTGATTTTGCTTGTATTTTATATTTAGTTTTTTACTTATGTTATCCTACACTAGAAAACACTCTACAGTTCTTTTTGCCTGAATTTACTAAGAGCATTAAAACAGCAAATATTTTTCTTGATGTATTGAGATGCATTTATAATTAATAACACACTGTCACTAAAATTATTTTCATCTAGCTGATACAGTGGGCATATGTGTAACTATATTTAAATGAATATTCTTGAAGTGTTGAGACGTGGAACAACATCATCTTGTATCAGAATGAAGAAATCTTTGCCTAGTCATGCTCTGAATAATAGGGAGAATTTCAGTCCCACAAAGCTAGAATAAGATCTATGAAACTAAACCATGTGGCCCATTCCTTGAGTTGTAATGGGACTCAGGACACATGGGTTCTTTTTTTGGTTCTGCTTCTGGTTTCCTGAAAAGCTACAGACAAATCACTTTATTTCCTTGTATCCCCATTCCCCAATTTGTAGAATAAGGATAATTATGCTAATCTCATTCATAAATAGTGCTGAAATCTTTGTGTCATGATTGCTGTATTACTAACATAATGCAAGTGTGGTGCCTCTGTTGTAATCAGTAAGTTGTTACAACATACTCACAGACTGAAATGCTGCTTCTGTAGTAGCAATATTTTGTCTTCTGCCACACATAATAATTATTTTGTGTCTCAGGTGAAGTTACAGAGGAAGAAAAGAACCTTAGTAGAATTCTAATGAAGTACTGGACTAACTTTGCTCGAAATGGGTAAGAATCATGAGATTCATGACACATGTTACTGGTTTGTACTGACCGCATCATGAGTTAGCTGTTCTGTTGACTCAGTCTTAACTTCTGTGATTTAATTCCTCTGTGACTGAAAAGGGCATTCACTCTTTCTTTTTTGTTATTTACAGAAATCCTAATGGAGAAGGTTTGGTTGAATGGCCATCTTACAACCTAAATGAAGAATACTTACAGATAAATCTAAAACAAAAGAAAGCCAGAAAGTTGAAAGAAAAGAAGGTAGATTTCTGGCAAAAGGTGATGTTTGAAAAGACAAATAACAAAAGAACAGAAAACAAGAAGGTTAATTCAGAGTTATAATTTACAATCTAAGCATGCACATAATATGCAAACTATTAGGATAGTAAAATAAATTACTTAAAGTAATTTTGAGGATAAACTTATGTTTCCTTTCACCTTTTCTTCACAGTTGTCATATTTGCAATTATTCACTGTAATAATTCCAATTGATCTATTTCTCCATTGTGATCATTTACTTTTTCCTGGATTTGTGTCTACAACGGAAGCCTCACTTACTAAATATAGGTACCAGATTTCCCCACTGCTCAGGTTTTTCTGTTGCTTCCCCATGACTGAAGACAGAATGTGGCAGCAACATTGTTTTAATAAAGTGAAATCAATAAAGACACAATTTGCAAGTAAAACTGTCTTTTGATGTCAAGTGTATCAGCAATGGTACAGAAGTTTTGGTCTGATTTAGATACAGAAATATTCTCTGTGAAAAAAAAAAAACCAAACTAAAGAATGTTCTGCTTCGTAAGTTGGTTTTACAACAGAGATGGTATATTTCTGACTGTTCCAATACATAATCTGTAACAGTAGTGCTGGAATTAAGACTTCTCTCAAATGTTAGAAAAGGGAGAAGCTGTCTCCACTACCCACGCTTTTTTCCTTTCAAATTAAGCAATAATTCCCTTAGAAGGATCAATGTTGGTAACATTATTTTCATAGTTTTGTCTTTTCCATGGTGCTTTATGCTGTGCTCCAGGCTGTCCTCTGGGCCATCAGTCAGTTCCAGTTTCTCTGCACTGGGTCACAGGCCTTCATTACTAGCACTGGCGAGAGGTTCGTTTGTACCAGAATTATTCTGGTACCCTTACTGGCTGATACGCACTTGGACTGCCAAGAACAAGTCTTGAACACTTCATTTCAGTGTTGTCAAGGACTTCTTTCTCTGCTATATCTTGTTTGTTTCCTATATCTGGCTCCTAGGCTGCTCCAGCTACTCGAACCATGTTCCTGACCGTACCACTACCTCACAGCAGCGTTATGCAGCTCCACAGATGCTATGGGGCACAAGGCATCTGTTCCCCCCTTCTTTCATCTCCCCTCTGTATCTCCAGAAGAATTTAAGATTGTTCATAGCTAATAATGTCCTACAGCAACAAACTGGCCATCCCTTCTTTCTGAATGACTTTATTGGAAGAAATAGGGTGGGATTCCTACATCTTTCTGCCCAAATTCTGTTGCCAGTCAGAACCTGGGAGGTAGACTGTTAGCACAACTGCTGTTTTGGTAAACAGGAATTCCTGCTAAGCATCTGTCCCTCTTCCATTGTTTTAGCTAACATGTTTTGTGAGGGGAATATAATCTCAAAATAGTCTTGATAGATTTTCATTGCACGTAAATTCCCCTGAGGTCCTGTACTGCTCCCTTTAAAAGGAGATAAACAGGCAGCATTGTATGTATATGCACAGAATATATGCTTATGTTGTAAGTGTATGCAGAGAAATGCAGTGGAACTGACTTCTTATACATAGTGCTAAGAATAGTCACAGTGCTAAAAATAAATCACAGTGGAAAATGTCAAAAGATTTTACTCCTATCTGCTTAGGAGTGAGTGCTCTGATACTCTGTCTCATCACAGAGACGTCCTGATGTGAGATTACCAGTGCTAAAGAGACAGTGTTAAAGCTGTCCAAGCACTAGCTTCGTAGACTCTAGCTCTAGGTTTTATACACTCTAGCTTCATTGAAAACTGACCGGGGGCTAAGTAAAAAACCAAACTGACCCTGTTTTAAATGCAGACTTCTAAACATTTCTACCATTCATACTTGAGGCAAGATGTAATTGTGAGCTCTTATGCAATTATGGGCCTATAAATGTGGTATTTGCCTCTATTTTTCAGCTATTGAAATCAAGAAAGGTAGCAGTGCATTAAAGTATAAAGAGGCAAATGTCATCATATGGCAGGATTTTTTTTTGATTGATCCCTGACTTACGCATTATTCACCGACTGAGGGTAAGCTGCAACATGTTTTCTCAAAATGAAATGCCAAACAGGATTCAAGAATTCCACTTGCCAGGTATGTAGCACTATCTCCAGAATGCATGAGTTTAGTCTAGAGTGTTTCCACATTTGCAGACCATATAGGCCATGCTTGTAGATCCATACAAGGTATCAACACGCAGGGCTGTAGGGATCTAAAATCCCATTTGTTTGTTGTAAGTAAGATTGGCAGAGTTTGCAGAAACCGGTTTGCACTGGTAATATTTTCAGAATGGACACTTCTTTGGGACTGTGGATGGGATATGGGCTGAGACATTTTGCAGACTGGGTACTTGAGAGAGAAGTAGTGAGTGGAACAAAGATTGAAGAGTAAGGCTTGGAAAATAGAATAGTAAATGAAGGAGAAAAATAAAGGGAAAACAAATGGGAAAGGACAGAGTTTAGTAAAATCAGTAAAGATCAGGAGATAGAAAATAAATTGTTTATGGAGGTAAAGTTTGTTACAGCAAAAGGAGAGAGCAGCAAGCAGAGTACACAGCATTTGGCTTTGTAGTAAAGGACTCCTGTAGTTTGTGGGTCACAAGTGACTTGAGGCATGCATGCCAATCAGGATGGAAGCCGAGTCACAAGCAGGGATTCTTGTAGTTCCACCTTGCATGGAAACAGTTTTCCCATGCCAGGAACCAAAGCAGTCCAAGATAAGTGGAGACAGTGAGAGAATTTGCAACAGTATTCAAACAGGCAAAACTGAATGTGTACACCTGAAGCTACCTGCCAACAGTTTGCTCTCGAAGCAGTCCAGTTTAAAAGTTGACCAGGATTTATCTACAAGGGCTGTAAATCACACCTGTGCAGATACACTTACAAAGATTTGGAGTAAAGTACACAAGGATATCTGTAGTACACAGGACTACTAGGTGCATAATACATGTGCTGAACCAATTTAACGACTGTGGGTCTTCACAGCCCAGTTAGCTGAAAACAAAGGTGCAAGCAGTAAATTCATCTATAGAAATGCCATGTCTGACAACTGAGAATTCTCATGATATAAAATCGCAAAACAGCCTTTCTGCGGCAAGAGCTACTGAGTCTTGCACCCCACCCCCACCCCCCCAAAAAAGAAAAAAAGACAGAGCCCAAAGCTTACATAAAACTAACACAACCTCTTAGTTAACATGGGCAGAAAATCTCTTTTATTTCTATTCAGCTATCTCTTCCCTCTTTTTCATATCATGCTCCAATGATAGATGTGAGTTCACGCAGAAGTCCATAAACCCTCCTGATTTTCCAGAGGCATTAACTGTATAGTTAGCAATCAAATCCTTTAATATTGTTCCCATACTACAAAAGCTGTGAAATCATCTGTCTAGTGTTGCAGAACTCATGTATTGTGTTAGATACCAAACAAACATCCCTGAACATGCAGGACTGAGTGGCAGGTGGAGCTAAGATTTTTCTAGTATTGTTTTTGTCAAAAAATGTCCTTTTGTGAGAATGAAAATCCCTCATATTTACTTCAGCATAAGCACATTTTTCCTGAGTAGTGTTTTGGAATTTGCTCCTTGTGGCTATATTGTGTATTCCTTACATTGAGATATTAATACTAAAATGAAGTAAACAGATGTAATAAGGTAAAAGTGTAGTTCCCTTCCTGATCTCTTCACTGTGTAGTGTGAGGAAATCCTAACTTCGTTGAGAAAGACGGTAGTGTTATAGCAGCAGGACGAATCTCTTGGTGCAATGGAAGGCTGTTTTCAAAGCACTTTAAAGCACATCATAGTTGATGCCTGAGGTTTTGTGCATAAGATATAAGGAGCACTAAGGAGCCAGTAAGAAACTTGTGGGTCCACTCTGCAAGGCGGGAGGTCTCCGTGTCCCCATGTACAGCTGAGCCCCTTGGGAGGGGTGGCTTACAGGCAGGGCAGCTGCTCTGGCTGCCCCCAGCGAAGCTGGCTCACAGCTTGAGTATTGCTTTTCCTAATCAGCGTTTCCCTTGTGTAACAGTTATACTTAACAGAGTATATAAGGCAACACACTGAGGACGTAAATATGTGACTAGCTTGCAAAATGGCAACGGGAAAGGACACATCACTGCTGTTCTTGATTCTCACCGTCGGGGTCACAGCGCTTATAGCTACTGGTAAGCTTCAGAACGGTTTTTCCCCATTGCCTTCTGCAAGGAAATAGAGCACGTATGCAGCTTGCCCACCTAGGGGAACCCCAGCTTTACCGGAGGAGCTGGGCACCCAGCCTTGCTGCATAGAAATTAAGTCTGAATAGCAATAGTTCTTAATTTCTTTTTCTGACCTGTTTCCAGTCATTTGTCTTATTTGCCTTTTTCGCAAATAGTGAATCAAATTCCTGTCCCAAAATCTTGTCTGCTGAGGCAGAGCAGACCACTGTACCACATTCGTAATCTGGTATTGAGAACTTTCACACCGATCTTAACATGAATTTTACCTAAATGTTAACAGTATTTGTATATGCCAGACTATTTTCAGGTATGTTAGAAGCTTTTTCTTTTGGCTGTGTCCATACTGTCAAGGGTCTGGAAAATACTTCGTCCGTTCACGGTTCTTTTCTTAAAAAGGTAATGCCTTTTCTTAATGAGAGCAATCTATTGGACTTTAACTAACAACCTGGGTCAAAAAAAGGATTAAGAACTATGTGCAATTGTGCGTATGGTAAGACGATACATATGATATACCTGAGGGAGATTATACATACAAACCAATCAAAATGAAGGCTGAAATAATGTCTGCTATACTGATTATAGTTTGTTGAAGCCTTATGTATGAAATTGTTTAAGCAAACACAAGGTGTATATTTAAGTAGCTAAAGCTCTTAGAAATCTGGCAATTACTTACGAGTAGACCAATTATGTGATTTTGTGCTCACATCCTCCAGGACAAAAAGCAGAGCAACCAGAAGTGCTGACCAAATACGGGAGAGTCCAAGGGTACCAATTCAAAGTAGATGCAGCTGAGAGGAGTGTAAATGTGTTTTTGGGACTTCCTTTTGCTAAGCCTCCAGTTGGACCACTGAGGTTTTCTGAACCCCAGCCACCTGAGCCATGGAAAGGTGTCAGAGATGCCACTTCCTACCCACCAATGTAAGACAGTGACAAAACCACTGATCTTTTTAATAATTTTATATTATATGCAATTTTGGGACACTGATGTACAGGGCAATCAAAAGCCACAAAGATGAATTCCTTGGTGCCATCTCATTACCACCTGCAACTGTTGCAATGAATGCATTCCTGAAGACACCTTTATAAGCTGCTCTTTTTATTAAAAACTGCTATCTAATGGGCATCAGTGATGAACTAATATGGACCAGCACTTTGCCAATAATGTTCTGGTTTGGGAGCATTTGGCCATTACTTAGCAATGTTTAGAAACTGTGAGCTTTGGAGCAGAGAGAGAAAGAAGCTGAGGAAATGTTGGAATATATTAGAAGAAAAAATTACTGACTGAGTCACATGCTTAACAGGACACATAAGAAATGCAGACCAATTCTAGTCTATATTGTAAATGTCTTATTCCATTTGTACTACTGCCCTTGTTTAGTGCCTCAAGCCTAATACCTACCATTACAATATAAAAAGCTACGGAAGATGTAAAATAATTCATTTGCATTTTCATTGAAGTAATTTATAGCCATATGTATTTGCAGGTATATTTCTGTAATGTTTTGAAACACACAAAATTATATCTGCATGTCACTGTGTACTGCTGTAGGCTGTGGCTCCTTTTTACAGATCTCCCTAATGCTGGGTCAAAGGAAGAAAATATACTACAAGTGATGTTTTCTGTTGCCAACAATCTAGAAATGTACTAGAGATTGGTTTCTGGTTTGCACTTTGTTGTGGAAGTACAAAAAAGCTACACTTCATAGCTTTGAGGTTTTAATTATTTCTGTTGCTTGTTATTTTTTCATTTATTCAGGTGTCTACAGGATAAAGTACAAGGACAGGTTTTTTCGGACTTTATTACTAATAGAAAAGAAAAAGTTCTTCTCCAAGTGTCTGAAAATTGCTTATACCTAAATGTGTATACACCCGTTTCTACAGAAAAACAGGAGAAGCTGCCTGTAAGCAAAACCATTATAAAACCTCTAGCAAAATTATTTTACAACAAACCTACAACCTGTGCTATATGCAGAGTTATAGGTGCAGTGTTGTAATGATGATCAAGTTGCATGCTTTGCCCCAGTAAATATTTGCTGAGGTTTAAGAGAGACACAAAATCCTATTTTACAAATAAAATTTTATTGACATTTTAGCTAGGTAATGTTTGATTTCCTCTAAATAATCTGTGAAAAGTCACAGGGCACTGGTATAGTGTAAGTATTTAATAAAATCGGTGCCATTTTTTAAGACTGCAGGCCTCATATTCAAAAGACTTCTACCATTTGTGAAATGTAATCTGAAAGAGTCAGGAGTGAAACAGCACAAAATATTATATATTGGTTTATATTTAGTTTTTGTCACTGGGAGCTCTTATCTGTGCTGGGTTGTTTCTGGTTTTGTCTTTCCAGGTCTTTGTATGGATCCATGGAGGTGGGTTAGTTTATGGAGCAGCTTCATCATATGATGGTTCAGCATTAGCGGCCTTTGACAATGTGGTGGTTGTAACAATTCAGTACAGATTAGGTATTGGTGGATATTTTAGGTAAGATATTTTGTCTCAGTTTTTGCTAAGTGATTTCCAAAATTATGTGTGCAAAGCCTTTGTGAAGAGATGTGCACAATACTTGCTTATGCAAAAAACCTGTACATTTCTTAATTACGTATGCAACAGTTGGGAACAATTTACAAGTCCCAAGTCAGCTTCCAAGTCTGTTCTTGTTCGATTGCTACTCTAATCTCAACATTTTCTGAGCCATTTATTTTTCAGTTGTGTAGAGAAGCTCTGTATAGAGCATGGCAGCTGATTTCTAACACCACAGATTGTATTTTTCTCTGCCTTTTTTCTCACATTGAGCATTTAAACAAATCTATTCTTTCTCTGCAGCACTGGTGATAAGCATGCCCGAGGTAACTGGGGGTATTTAGATCAAGTAGCAGCCCTTCAGTGGATTCAGGAAAATATCATACATTTTGGAGGAGATCCAGGATCCGTCACTATCGCTGGAGAATCTGCAGGAGGACTCAGTGTTTCTGCTCTTGTAAGTTCACAGTAATACTGAATTTTAATTACTTAGGGAAAAAAAACACCGTCCACATTCATTTTTAGTACCTGCATGAAAAGTCAGTGAGAGAAAAGGGATGGTTTTATAATAAATGACATTTTACCTTGGTCTATAATACAACAATACAGCTTCTGATTGATAAAAGTGTTCTTTTCATACCCAAATCTTGTAGTTTGGACCCAAAATATTATTCCTTATCTACTAAATTAAATTCCAGGTGGTATTTTGCAGTGCCAAAACCCCAAAAATTTATCCTTGTGAGAAAAGTCCTCAAAGAGGGTGTATTACCCTTTTCCTGTTTGCTTTGACAGTCACTTGTGCAAAGTAACCAAGTCAAATAGTCACGATAGCTGAACTAGACATGCATTTTGTGACCCAGTGATTATGTAAGATTTTTACATCAACATTGAGCACATTGGCTAAGAGGTTCTTCTCCAGTCTCTCACAATTTGGTACAGATCACACAGTGAAACCAAGGATCAGTGATACATGTGATAAAAATTCGTTTCCAAAGCTCCTGCCCTCTGGCCAATAGTTCTTTATTCCCCTTCGGCAGCACAGCCAGATTATTTTGGACACAGTTATATTCGATCCATATCTGGCTTGCAGTGTCGTTCCATGAAGTCTTGGAAGCAAGGTGCTATGGGAGGGGGAAAGGCAGGCATGGACTCCTTATCCCTCAAAATGTTGCCAAAGGCCTTTGCATAGCTGAACTACGATCAGAGGCTACAGAATAACAGTCTTATGACATTTGTTTTCAAAATGTTTTAAATGGCAATTCTTGATAGGAAATTCCAAGTCAGTGGTTAGAACATAATGCTTGTCCTTCCCTTTTTACAGGTCTTGTCTCCCCTGGCGAAGGGCTTGTTCCACAAGGCCATTTCAGAGAGTGGTACTGCAGTCAGGGTTTTGTTCACTGACCGGCCTGAGGAGGAAGCACAAGTGGGTATTTTGTGGTATTTTAAATTATTTTTCCAGATAGTTTTGCATATCTTAAACTGTTTATTCCAAAATGTAAAACCAGAATTTTTTTCTTGTGAAACTACAACCACAGTCATTAAAGACAGGATTTCTGTGTGCAAATACTACATGTTTAACGATGCTTTGCTTTTCAAATACCCAAATATCCACATATGCGTGAGTGAAAGCAAAAGACTAAGGAAGCGAAGAGAGAAGGCCGGGAAGAACTGTGAAAGGTAAAGGAATACTATAACGTGTACCGTCCTCAAGAAAAGTTGAGCTATAATTTTTGGCTGGAAAATGGCACCAGATTCTGAATATTCTTCCTCTCCCATTTGATGCCTGTTGTGTGTACATAAACAAGACTTTATTCAATTTGTTTATATTTGAAAAGAAGAGCTTACTTCAACCAAATTATTTTTTTGTTCAACTACAAGAAACAACTTCCAGGAACCTAATTTAATAATCTGGGATATAAAAGAGGCAACATTATAATGAGCTCTGTCTCTCTAATGACAGCTGTTACTCGACCCAAAAAGACATCAAGAATGGTATGTGCTCTTTGTTACCATCTACATGGTTGTATTCTGACTGTGCATCGCTCTTAACTCCTTTATGTCATCCTGTCTTCTCAGCCCAACGTGTTATTTACCAGAATTACTATCTTGGTCTATTTCTGTATCAAAATATTTTGGAGGCATATGTTTTGTCCTTCTGCTCAGCCCACAGTGCAAAGGGTCATGAGGGCTTTCTATTCTCTACCTCTGCAGCTGGAACATGGCTGGCTTCAATGATCCTTGTACAGAAGTGTAGACTCCTCCCTGCTGGACTCTCAGGCTCGGTTGCGCTTAGAGCCTTCTATGGGAAGTATATGAAAAAGTGTTTGTTTGTTTTTATTGATTGCAGAGAATTGCTACTGCCTCTGGCTGTGAGAAAACCAGTTCAGCTGCAATAGTCGAATGCTTAAGAGAAAAAACAGAAGAAGAGATAGTACAGATAACACAAAAAATGGTAGGTGAAATGGTACTTCTTGCATTTAAATGACATTTCAAATTTTATCATAACGGAGTATGCTATTTGTGTGTTGTAATATTAGGAGAACTTGAAGTGAATGTAACATCTGACTTTCTTGACCTTTTCAGGATTTGATGACACTGCAGCTATGCTATACTTCACCTGAAAAATGCAAACAGGTTACTTCCCTTTCATTCTGCATGAACTTTGAGCTACTTGTGTTTTGCTGTCATGCTCTACCAGGGGAAGGAAAAGAGTGTAGGAAATGTCACAGTTTCTCCTGGAGAACCTGAAAATTAATTAATGTAATATATTACATCCTACTTAAAATTTCTTATCACAATGCTGGATTCCATGTTTCTTTGCAGTTTCAACGCAGAAGTTGGTTTTTCCCTCACTGCTCCACATGTCCCATAACAGGATTGAACTAACTAAGAAGATATGTAAATTGGACATCATCACCTATGTTTCACAACATTAAAAATACAGTGCTAATCTTCACAGAATCTTCTGCTTAGTGCAGAAAATCTGTCAAGAGAAAATTTAGAGATGGCTGGAATACTATTACTTCTTATATCTTCACTTGGCACTTAATTTGTTTTGCTTTGGAACTACAATAAAAATCTGAACATTTTTTCTAGAAGCAAAATTCATGTATTAATGAAGATTTCTTTTTTTTTCCCTCCAGCCTTCCCTGTTTATCAGTGCATCTGCAGATGGTGTATTTTTTCCAAAGAGTCCCAGGCAATTACTATCTGAAAAAGTGATCAATGCAGTCCCATATATAATAGGAGTAAATAACTGTGAATTTGGATGGGTGCTTCCTACGGTAAGAGACTTACAATGTTGTTATTTATATATCATTTTGTTATATAAGATTATCTAATAAATATGATTCTCTGTATCATGCAGACAATGAAATTTCCTCCTTACACAGATGGTCTGGATGAAGATGTTGCACATCAAGTTTTACAGAGCTCCCTAGCAGTATCACTTAAGGTAAGAGGCCATTTTCAGAACAGCCCAGTGCTGCTTCTTCACTGGTCTGGTTCTGTGTTTGTACTCCTGGAGAGGTATATTTTAGAGGCAAACTGTTCAGTTTGACAGCTTCCTACCATGGGGCAGTAATGGGCAGCAGATGGGGTGTATTCCTGTTGCCACTAGTGTTTGAAAATGCACTCTAAATTTCTATCCTAAATGCCCCTCTTTTTAAAAAGAAGTTCTGTGGAAATCCAGGACCGATTCAGGTACCTAAATATAGGTGTCTTGTGACATTTTAGATACCCTAGGTTATCCAAGACAGGCATAGTACTGGCATGTATGACATAAGACCTAGATAGAACACACCCTTCTGAAGCAGTAACTGGAGACTAGAAAGGATAAACCTGAGATGTTTAAAACGGCACTGAGAGACCTATGTTCAGGTTTCTTGAGGTTTTGCTTCCCTGTAATTTACAAACCTCTTAGCTTTCATGTTCCTTTGTGCTCTCCTGAAACTACTAAATATAGAAAAATGCAGATTAATGGTAAGAATTAAGAACTTATAAATATGGCCAGTACTTGCAATGGATCATTCAGTGTCACAGACATCCATCATGAACTTGGAAAGGCAGAGCCCAGGCTTGTTCTGAAAGGGAGTAAATTATGGTCATCTACAACAATAAATGAATTTTATGAAATCCAACAGGATTTCTTTTCTCTTATGAGGGTTATTTCCACAGAAGGGAGAACAGACTACCATAGCTATTTATCAGCATCACTGACTGATGTTTATCTAAAGATGCTTGATCTTTAGATCCTGAAAACCTCCTTTCCCTGAGAACATCTATATCCAGTAGCTCCGTAACTCCCAATTCTGAGCTCTGAGCCACACTCTAACACAGTTGAGGATTTTCTCTGAAAGAAGGTAATGTTTGGGGTTTAGCCAGGGACATGCAGATGGCACACTCAATTAGTGCTGATATGCTTTATAATATTAATCATCATTATAAGAAGTATTTTTATTGTTCACTTCAGGGTGTTACTTCTGAAGTTGTCGATCAAATATACAATGAATACATAGGGAATGCAGAAAACCGTGCTCAGGTGCGAGATGGCCTTCTCAATGCAATAGGAGACCCTTTGTTTGTTCTTTCAGCCATTGAAGTGGCAAGATACCATAGAGGTAAGTCTCTAATTCAGCATCTATTAGAAGAAATGTAGAATTCCATCCTGGGGTGTGTTTGTGGACAGTATGCATCGTACTTCATTATCCAAAGAACTGATAGCGTTTTCATTTTATCAAAATAGTTTGTAATGAAAGTTTATGATCTTTGGTGGCAGGTATTTTCAGCCCTCAAACTAACACTCTTCTGTATATTTTCCACTAGATGCTGGCAACCCAGTCTACTTTTATGAATTTCAGCATCGGCCAAGTTCAGCGGCAGGTGTTGTGCCAGAGTTTGTAAAAGCAGATCATGGAGATGAGATTGCCTTTGTCTTTGGAAAGCCATTCTTAGCCGGTGATGTATCCATGCTTACTAAAGTATTCCTTTTAAAACATTATTATTCATTTTACTTACTGGAGGGCTTTAGAATAGACTTTCTCCCTTACAAATACTGGAATCAACATAAACATTTTCTGCCTTTATTAGTAGTTACTTTTCATGAAATCACTCGTCTGCAGTTCTCTCCGAGAGCTCTGCTCTGGTAAAAGTGCCATAGCTCAGAGTAGCAAGTAGAACTGATTACAGTCTATTGGAATTGATATAGCTACTACTTTTTTGATTATTAGTTTTTAAAGTTGCCATTTCATCTCTCACTTTGTAGGGTATGCTACAGAAGAAGAAAATAAACTTAGCAGAACTATTATGAGATACTGGACTAACTTTGCTAGAAATGGGTGAGAATCATAATGCTAATCACAGCTCAAGTTTTGTCTGTGCTGCCTGAAACATACTTACTTGCCTGAAGCAATACTTATATGGTGGTTCCTACAAATTTGGCAGAATTTAAGCTAAATATTAAAGCAAATTATTTCTATTCTTAATGATTGCAAGAAAAACCTTTTAAATGAACCTGCAGACCAAAAAAAGAAAAAAAAAATCCAAGAGCTCTTACTCCATCTGCAATGGAGTTTTAGATCCAAAAGTAATGGCAATTATCAAACTTTTGCTATTCCACTGATGAGCATTTTGATTAAAAAAATCCAACTATTCAGGTACTAGAATCAATCTGAGCTCGTGTTAGTTTTCTGAAATGCTCTCAACCTGAGCAGTCAGAGCACAATTGCTAAGCAAATGGAAAGCTAATTTTTCGTTATATTATTTCCAGAAATCCCAACGGAGAAGGCTTGGTCCATTGGCCTCAGTATGATCTGGATGAAGGATACCTGGAAATAGACCTAATGCAAAAAGCATCAAAGAAATTGAAAGAACGCAAAATGGAGTTTTGGACACAGCTCACAAAACAAATGATGAATGAAAGGAGAGAACACACAGATTTATAAGAGTTGTGGAGGGTACAGTTTGCTTTTAAAATCTGAAGTCAAAGAAAATTAGTTTGTCAGGATGCAGAATTCAATAATAATCACCTTCTAACTCACTATTGTGTAACCTGCTGTCATGATCACAGTGAAAGGAGAGAATCAAGGGAAATTTGGAATGTTTGTGGGACTAAAAATCACTATTTAATGAAGCAAGCAGAAAAAACCCACAATCTTTCAGGCTTGAAAAGACCATGGTGTCTACTCAGTGGATAGCAAAGCTGAATAATGATCCTGTGAGAAGGGGGAGTGAGGGGGAAACTGTCAAATATATTGAAATCTGTAAGAAATTAGCTATACAGAATATATCATAAGTGTCAGACTATGTTGTATGCTTATTCCCCTCTTCTTTCAGAAGAGAATGGTCAGTTGTCATTCTTACAGCCTCTTTCCACTTTCTTTAATTGGAAATAGCTTGTAGGGAGCAGAGCATCCATCAAAAAACATCTGTGAGATGGGCTTGACACCTCACAAATGAGAATGGAAAATCTCTACTTGTTGTTTTGTAAACTGTTATAAATAAATGTTGCTTTTGAATTTTTACAACTTCCTTTTCTTTCTCCTAACTGGTACAGGCTAACTCCAAGAGGTTAAATCACACCCAAGAAGCCAGAAATGTGCCCAGTTTCTTTCTTCAACCTAAAGGGTTTCAGATATGAATTTTCCAGCTTTCTTTGCAGAAGCTGAGTCTCAAGGCTCTAGGGTTTCACAGGCTATTCTGTGGTATGATTATCTATTCTTCAACCCTTCCTGGCAAAGAATTCACAATTCACTGTCTGGAGGGAGGAAGCCTTGCTGGCAGGACAGACACCCACTGAGACAGAGGGGAGAGCAAAGTATGATGGTGTTCGCTGCATGTTGTTAGCTCAATGTTGTCCATGGGCTCACAAAGGGAAGACCTGCTGATGAGCAAAGCATGCACCCCCAGCCTTCCTCCTTTCAAGGGCACCAGCAGCTGTGACCACATTTTTGGCAATATCTGGAATGCGTCAGGACACACAAGTAATGGAGTGGCTTTTTTGCAAAGTTACATGACAAGCAAGATACACTTGCTAGGCACAAAGGAACACACAATGTAAGCATCCAAGAATCTATAAGAACTGTACTCATAACAATAAACGAACAGCAATAAATTAGCTGTAACTACTCCCTTAACTGGTGTCAAGCTCACCCTCCCATCTCCCACAGCATCCCACAGTCTATGGCTGCTCTTCCCAGGAGGGGCTGTCACAGTGACACATTGGCAGCCCAAGTTCCTGCCTGCAGGTGTTGATTTCTTGAGGATGTCTTCTTCTTCCTCCTCACCTCTGGGTTCACTTGGGCTTGCCTTTACAAATTGGTGGACCTTGAGCTGTGTGATCTATACTGAGCTTCTGCCTGGCTATTCCCTTTTGTGCATTTTTTCCATAACTTGCAAAAACCACTAGTTGTTACCATTAATTGCAAAAAGCCATCAAGTAACAACTAATTGTAGCAACAGTGTTCAGCCATACTGCTAGTTCTCTCACACATTTCATAATGCAGCATATGGGGCACACTGGGCATTTTATTCCTTCCCATTTTGATCTGAAGTAGCCTTTAAGTCCGTTATTGGTTTGTTTGTTGAATCAGTGTTTCTGTCCTAGTAGGTTCACAAAAATCATTAACTTAAACAAGATACAAAAAATCCCATGTGTTTGTGAATGCAAAATCATAGCTATAACTTCTGTGGAAAAGTGAGGCCCCTTATTTCATTAGGCACATATGATAACAAAGTACTTTCCAACTGTGTGAGGAGCATTCTGTCCATCTGTCTACTTAAAAACCCCAAATATAAAGAATGGTATGCTTTCAAACAGTTGAGAAAGGAATAATACTGAGGCCACAATGTATAAGTTACCTTTAAGCAGCAGATTCCTACATTATGCTCCAAACTGCATTTTATTTTATATTTTTAATATTAATGGTCACTTGGTATAGATACCCAGTTCAGCTCAAGGTAACAGTACATATACATTAAATACAAATGTATGCACTGTGCACCTATATCTGAAGAAAATCTTAGCAGTATATTTAGTTGATAATATTCAGCAAGAACTGCTGCTGTTGTTATTTTTCACATTCTGTCAATAGAACACTTAATCTTTCTTAAAAATGTATTAATTATACATAATTTCTATAATTGCCTAAGTCGGTGACCAAGTATGTTTGTCAGGTGCCATTCCTGCTTCTCAGGTCATCTCTCCTCTGCCAAGGGTTCTGTTCCATAGGGCTATCTCAGAGAGTGGAGTTGTAGCCAGAACTCTGATAACTGACCATCCTGAAAGACAAGCTAAAGTAAGTAATTTTAAAATGTATACTGTTCCACATTTTAGTACTTTCACAGTATTCAATATTATTACTAGCTTTTTAATATTGTAGCTTTCCACACATTGATGCTTTCTGTGAAAAAAATCCATTTGCACACCCATTTATGATACTGCTTTGCTCAAACTTGCAAATACTTAGTATTGTGCATGCTGCTGCAACTTATTTATGTCACAGCTTTTACACGAAACATGCCTCCAGTCTTCAGCTGTGATGGAAGGAATTGGGAGTTCTGCAAAATCACTTAGCATTCCCAGCACAGTGTAGCTGATGACTGTTCACTGTTGACTCAGTTGCTGAAGAAAGTACTGTCCACGGAGGAGTAAGTAGCGTAGTTAATATAAGAAAACTGTCGGTCTTTTGTTACACTGATTGCAGAGAATTGCAACCACGCTGGCTGTGAAAAACCTGATTCAGCTGCAGTGGTTCAGTGCTTAAGAGAAAAAACAGCAAAAGAGATGATAAATGTAACTCTAAAAACAGTAGCTAGTGCTGTACTTTGTTTTATAAGATGGAATAAATCCTTCCCTAAGACTAAGATAACTTGAGGCAAAACCATTGTATGACACTTGCTTGGCTGTTGCAGGACTTCACAACAGTGCACTTGAACAATAATACTGCACCTGAAGAATCAGAACAGGAACATTCCCTACCCCCCTGCATTTCAGGGTAGAAGTGCATCCATCACAGGAATGTAAACAACAAATTCTTTTTTTTTCCCCTGAGAATGCTTCTGAACAAGGCAGGCTCACAAATACCAAACAGAAAAGTTAATATTGCAAAAATGGAACTGGCCAGCTTTGCACAGTCCATCGTGTCACCTTTGTCATCAGCAACGCACTTCCCAGCAGCTGGCTGATTTTTTAATACAGTGTGCAAGACGGAAGGACTGCATATTGGAGGAAGTAATACAGCATTTATCAAACCTTTCTAGGAAGTAGTACAGTCATTGAAAAAGCTCTCCTTTTTGCAAAACTGACCTTTTGTTAGTAGCTATTTTATCTGTTGCCATAACCAATCTTTCCGTATCACTGTGCTGGCTTGTCAGTTCTTTTGCAATCTTACCACGTAAGCTTATTTTGACCCTGTTACTCATCCAACCCTAAGAAGCTGGAGTTACAAACTGGTTAACAAGTCATCCTCTGTCTTGAGCATTCAGCATTACATTCTTGTGCAGTACTAAAATTATGTAACAGAACCTCAGAACAAGGCCTAAAACTCAGTTACCTTTGACACTATGTATTATATTATAACTAAAAATAGGTCACTTGGGTGATTTCTTTCAGTCAATACTAAGAAAGCTGAATTATCTTTCTGAGCAAAACCAGTATGTAAGTAACAAAGTGGTGCTTTTTTCTCTAGCATCCTCTCTTTATTGATGCAGTTGTGGACAGTGTATTTTTCCCTAAAAACCCATCACTGCTACTAGCTGAAAAAAGGATCAATGCAGTCCTGTACATAATAGGAGTAACAAACCATGAATTTGGATTTCTGCTTCCAACTGTAAAATGCATATAACGCCTTTTATTTATACGTTGATTTATTAACTATTCAGGAGCACAGGAGCTCACAGAAAACATTTTTACTCTGCAGGTGCTGAAATACCCTCCTTTTGCAAAAGGATTGGACAAAAAATGTAGCAGTCAAGCATTAAAGAGCACAGAGTCTTTCACAGTAAGAGGCAATTTTAATGTGCCAATTGACTTCTATCTGAGGGTTGGTACCTCAGATCTGCACTAGTCCCTGCTTTTTTTCCCCCTTCATTTTCTTGGATACAGACACTGCAGCAGAATTCCCCCATGTCCTGTGCTGTCCTTGAACTAAGTGCCAGGTGTAGGGAGGGCACTAGGTTGTGGCTCAGGCTTTGCAGAGGCTCCATCCATTCAGGGTCCCTGAGGCTGGTTCCCAAGCTCCAGGAGACGCTCCACGGATCTGAGGAGAACAACCTGTCCCTGAAGGGAACAGACTGAGCTGGAGATAACTCTGTGAAAATAAGATTATTGAAATTCTGTTTTCTTTATGCAAGTGATTTCCAAACAAGGAAAACAGCAGGCATCGCTGACGGGTAGTACCTGAGCAGATGTCAGTGTAATTCCCCTTCGAGCTCCTGCAAACCTCTTGCTTCCAAGTGGAGCTGTAACAAGTAACACGGAAGCACCAGCTCCAAGTTTTGATTACTTGTCTGTTAGACAATCCAGTGTACTTTTGTGAATGTCAGCATCAACCAAGTTCAACTAAAAGTTCAAAACCAAACTTCGTAAAAGCAGGTCATGCAGATGACGTTGGCTCTGCACTTGGAAAGCCCTTCTTGGCAGGTATCTGACTGGGGTCTGCTGGAGAATGTTTACTCGTCATCTGCGTTTGAGCACTGTTAAGATAAAAACATTTTTAGTCAAGTAAGGAATTTCAGTATTCTTGTAGAGCGCTGGCCTCGTGCTCTTCCGAGACGATCTTTACCTGGAGTCAGTTCTGGGACGCGACGTCCCTGTCACCCTGGAGCGACTTCCCACAGCCGTGTCCGCACGGAGAGGCACCGAGAGCGACCCAGGACCCCAGGACCCAGCCTCCCGCGGGCCACGCTGCAGACGACGGATTTAAGCGCTGCGCAACAGCCTCGAGGGGCCCGAGCGCCTTTGGTCGGAAGGGGTAAGTTTTCACACGCCTGCCTAAATACCGCGCCAAGCCCTGATTATCTCCGTTCTTAATGACCGCAAACGAGACCGCCGCGCCCGCTCAAGCAGGCGGCTGCCCAGTACCCTGCGGCGGGGAACGGGCGACCCGGTCGACCCGGTCCCATCCCGGCGGCCCGGCCCCCTTCCCGCCTCACGGGCGGCCCCCCCTCCCC